ATAGGCAGGGCTGAGAGAACCCCCACCTGCCTTTTGGCGGGGTCTTGAGGGCCTGATGGAACAAGGGTGGCTTTCCCGTCCATCTCATCAGTCCTGCACTTTCCTCATAAACCACACGCTGTGTTCTCTGGTCCATCTCGTTTGGAAAAGCACAAGAAAGACTGTGAACTCCTTAGGGCCTGGCACTTGCTCTCTGGTTCTTTGATCTCTGCCCTTGGCACCTGGTGTGGATCATGTGCTGTGTTGAGTTCATTCATTCTGCTGACCAAAGGAACAAGCCTGGAGAACATTCTGCAAGTTCAGGTCTTATTTCAGGCTCTTATGAGATGCCTGGGGGGAAAAAAGTCATAGCGGTCTGGGAAGGGCTCTTCAGTCAAACCTCCTGGGAGCATCTTTGTGGTCCTGACTGAGAAGAGAGATCCTTGGTTATCTTGTGGATTCTTCTCGAGCAGAGATTGCAGGTCATTCTATAGGTACACGCTTGCTACCACAGTCTGTAAGATTTTCTCTGTGGCCTATTATTATTCTTGTCTTCTCCTGAGCAGGCTATGAAATTATGCATGTTTCTTACTTGAGAAATTGGTAGGTAGTTTAAAAAGAAATGTCACCCCCTTAAATAAGAAAAAAAAAGTCACAGTCTCAAACTGAATTCCTGATTGATCCTAGTCTTTTCTTCTCCACCTACCTTATAAGGATGTTAAGGATCCAGGTTTTGTGCAAACTTGCCCCGCATCTAGAAACTTCAAATATGATGAAAGCCTTTTTTGAGAAAAAAATTATTTATTGGAAGAGCTCACTGAATTTAAGAAAAATCACACCCAAACTCACGCTCTTCTTCTGATACATGAAAGTGTGCAGAACAGAAATGGTGTGCAGAAAGCAGTTTCCTCACATAAGCAAATCCAAACCCAATAATCAAGCAGTCCTGAGAAACGTGACATCAGTTTAATAAGAGACATTACATGTGACACATAAGTGTTCGGCTCATTTTCCAGACAAAAGATATATGGCTTCAAAACATAGTGGTGTGGTGCCTGCTTTTACGCCAGGCTTTAAAATGGAATTTGAGGATGAAAGGGGAATTTTCTAAGGCCTGGTTCTCAAACTTGAGCCTGCTTCAGGCTTCCCCACAGGGGTTTTTTAAATCACAGATTTTTGGATCTCACAATCCTCCTCTACCATCCCCTGGAGTTTCTGATTCAGTACATCCTCCCCTCTGCCCTTATCCCCTGGAGTTTCTGATTCAGTAAGTCCTAAGTAGGACCCAAGAAGTTACATTTTGAATAAGTCCCTAGGTGATGCTAATATTGCTGAACTGGGGAACAATGTTTTTAAGAACCACTGCTCTAGGGAAGGGAAACTCCTCTCTGTGTATTTCTGTGCCAGAGCTTTTCCTTATGATCATTTTATACTTCAGGTGTTCTCTTCTAAAGTACTGCAGAAAGAGAGCGTTCTGACAGCTTTAAATTAATTTTTTAATTAATTAGTTTAAAAATAGATGTATAGTTGATTTACATTGCCATGCCAATCTCTGCTGTGATTCAGTTACACACATACATACACTCTTTTCCATTATGTCTCCCAGGAGACTGGATATATTATAGTTGCCTGTGCTCTATAGTATGGCCTTGTTGTTTATCCAGTCTAAATGTAATGGTTTACATCTACCAACCCCAAATTCCTAGTCCATCCCTCTCCTTCCCCCTGTTCCCCTTTGGAAACCACTCTACGTCTGTGAGTCTATTTCTGTTTTGTAGATAGGTTCATTTGTGCCATATTTTAGATTCCACATATAAATGATATCGTATGGTATTTGTCTTTCTCTGACTTACTTCACTTAGTATGATAATCTCTAGTTGCATCCATGTTGCTGCAAATGGTATTATTTCATCCTTTTTTATGGCTGAGTAGTATTCCATTGTACATATGTACTACATGCTCTTTATCCATTCATGTGTTGATGGACATAGTGGTTGTTTCCAGGAGGCATAACTCTCCCAGACTTCAGACAACACTACAAAGCTGCAGCAATCAAAACAGTGTGGCATTTGTATAAAAACAGACATACTGATCAATGGAATAGAACAGAGAGTCCAGAAATAAATCCACACACCTAAGGTCAATTAATCTCTGTCAAAGGAGCTAAGAATATACAGTGGGGAAAAGACAGGATCTTCATCACATGGTGCTGAGAAAGTTGTACAACTGCATGTAAATCAATGAAGTTAGAACACACGCTCATGTCATGCACAAAAATAAGCTCAAAATGGTTTAAAAACTTAAACATAAGATGTGACAACATAAAACTCCTAGAAGAGAAAATAGGAAAAACATTCTCTGACATAAATCATACCAATGTTTTCTTAGGTTAGTCTCCCAAGGCAATAGAAATTAAAAAATTAACAAATGGGACCTAATCAAACTTACAAGGTTTTGCACAGCAAAGGAAACCATAAAAAAAAAAAATGAAGAGACAACCTACGGACTGGAAGAAAATATCTGTGAAAGATGAGACTGGCAAGGGCTTAATCTCCAAAATATACAAATAGCTCACACAAATAAACAACAATGGAAAATAACCAACCCTATTTAAAAATGAACAGAAGACCTTAATAGACATTTTCCCAAAGAAGACATACACGTGGCGAGTAGGCACATTAAAAGATGCTCAATATCACTAATTATTAGAGAAATGCAAATCAAAACAATGAGGTATCACCTCACACTGATCAGAACGGCCATCATTTAAAAAGTTTACAAATAATAAATACTGGAGAGGATATGGAGAAAAGGGAGCCCTCCAGCACTGTTGGTGGGAATACAAGTTGGTACAGCCGACTGTAGAGAACAGCCTGGAGGTTCCTCAGGAAACTAAAAACAGAACTACCATATGATCCAGCAATCCCACTTCTAGGCATATACCCGGACAAAACTACAATTTAGAAAGATACATGTACCCATGTTCACAACAGCACTGCTGACAATAGCCAAGATGTGGAAGCAACCCAACTGACCACTTTGAAATCCTCATGACCTGATCATTTTGTAATCCTGATTTTGGCTTCTACTAACAAATTCACAAAAACCCTGTGTTCCTGGTCACCTGAGTCTTTCTGTTAAAAGGGCCCGGGAGAGGGGACTGTTTTATTCCCTTTTTGGCAACTGTGGCAATGGTGGTTGTTCCCAGACCCTACAGGCAACACCCCTCCCCTCAAACAAGCAGTCTCCCCTGGGGTCTCCTGTCTCTGAGTATTTCCCTTGCGTGCTTTTATTGATACGTCTCCAAGGGAATTACACACACTTTGAGAAAGAGTTTTAAATCGGCATCTCAGATTAGTCAGAGCATATAAAGCAAGGTTCTCTCTAAGCCTCTCTCCTTTTTATAACTCAAGGATTGATGCCCCTTTCTTGGTACCAAATGGGGCCATCCCTTTGATTATAGGTTAGGAACTGAAGTTTTTTGGGGAAAAAAAAAAAATCTAATTCTCCAGCATGTTGCTTTGGAGGCCAGAAACCTTCTTCAGGGATTAAACATTTCCCACGTAAGAAGTACGCTAACTGAAACCAAATTTTATCTGTATTTCAGCATCAGCAGTGGCTGCTACACTCTGGAAGAGGATTTTTATGGGAAGAGGCAAATGTCCCAGAAAAAAAAAGTCTAACAGCCCCAGACTCATGAACATGAGAAACAACTGGGACAATTTAAGTAATTATGCTCCCAAGAAGGAATTTCAAATTCTGTTAATAAAAGGCAGAGTCACTCAAAGATGAAAAGTTTAGCATAACTCAAATAAAAGCGAGTGATGTGACCACCTGCCGATGTGACCACCTGCCAATATGTACGCCCCGGCTAAGACTAGGAAGATCATTACGGTGGCTCACAGGGGTGTGGTGGTGATCAGCGTTACCTGATTCATCGACTCTCATTTTTTTAGTGGGGCTGTCACAGTTCTCATCGTCCGACATCTCCATCTCTTCTTCGCGACGGATGCCCATAAGCTGCTCACTCTGAGCATTCCGAAGTTCCTGGAAGCAGAGAACCCACGGGCGTCAGAGTTGCAGACACGTGACGCGGCTTTGCCAGCAGTCTCTCGGGGTATTAAGACTGATACGGGCATGTCTTCACCTCCCAAACACCGCCCCGCCTAACCCAGAGGGGAGTTCTGCGGGGTCTGGGGTGCAGACAAACCAAGGGATTCAGTATCTGATTTGCGAGAAATCCCTGCTCACCAAAGGTGCGTCAATGGCTCTTCAGCAAGGTATTCAATCTCTTGAGTCTTAATTTCCTCACTGGTAAAAATGGGGGCAATAACATCCACCCTGGCAGGGCTGTTTTGAGGCTCCCACAGAAACGTCTGTTATCAGGAATGGCACACAGGAGGGATTCAGCTAGTATTGAGAAAGAGTTTTAAATCGGCATCTCAGATTAGTCAGAGCATATAAAGCAAGGTTCTCTCTAAGCCTCTCTCCTTTTTATAACTCAAGGATTGATGCCCCTTTCTTGGTACCAAATGGGGCCATCCCTTTGATTATAGGTTAGGAACTAAAGTTTTTTGGGAAAAAAAAAAAATCTAATTCTCCAGCATGTTGCTTTGGAGGCTAGAAACCTTCTTCAGGGATTAAACATTTCCCACGTAAGAAGTACGCTAACTGAAACCAAATTTTATCTGTATTTCAGCATCAGCAGTGGCTGCTACACTCTGGAAGAGGATTTTTATGGGAAGAGGCAAATGTCCCAGAAAAAAAAAGTCTAACAGCCCCAGACTCATGAACATGAGAAACAACTGGGACAATTTAAGTAATTATGCTCCCAAGAAGGAATTTCAAATTCTGTTAATAAAAGGCAGAGTCACTCAAAGATGAAAAGTTTAGCATAACTCAAATAAAAGCGAGTGATGTGACCACCTGCCGATGTGACCACCTGCCAATATGTACGCCCCGGCTAAGACTAGGAAGATCATTACGGTGGCTCACAGGGGTGTGGTGGTGATCAGCGTTACCTGATTCATCGACTCTCATTTTTTTAGTGGGGCTGTCACAGTTCTCATCGTCCGACATCTCCATCTCTTCTTCGCGACGGATGCCCATAAGCTGCTCACTCTGAGCATTCCGAAGTTCCTGCAAGCAGAGAACCCATGGGCGTCAGAGTTGCAGACACATGACGCGGCTTTGCCAGCAGTCTCTCGGGGTATTAAGACTGATACGGGCATGTCTTCACCTCCCAAACACCGCCCCGCCTAACCCAGAGGGGAGTTCTGCGGGGTCTGGGGTGCAGACAAACCAAGGGATTCAGTATCTGATTTGCGAGAAATCCCTGCTCACCAAAGGTGCGTCAATGGCTCTTCAGCAAGGTATTCAATCTCTTGAGTCTTAATTTCCTCACTGGTAAAAATGGGGGCAATAACATCCACCCTGGCAGGGCTGTTTTGAGGCTCCCACAGAAACGTCTGTTATCAGGAATGGCACACAGGAGGGATTCAGCTAGTGATGAGGAATGCACACAGGGGAATTTTTAAAAGGCCTCGTCTACCATTGAACCATTAGGTCACTTTAGGGATATTTCATCTTTCTGAGGGTCAATTCGCTCACTGAGATAGTGTGACAATAAGAGTTTTGAGGATAAACAAGTTAATGCATATGACATTCTTAGCATCATGTGAGATTTGGTTCATTAAGTTGAAAATTAAGTTCATGCATAATAGTGTCCCTGCATACGTGTATGTGCCTACCTGTGATCTCACACACACACACACACACTTCAGATAGCCAAAGGTGTTCCAGGACAAAATAAAAGCAGATGCCTTCTTTTCTGGTGTTTCACATTATCACAGGGGTTTATTGTTTGTGATGTAATCGTTGTTTTAGCATCCCTTTAAGGTCTAAGGATTGTATCTTTCTCCGTTTCCTAGGGAAGTGACTGTAATCAAGGCATTTAATTTCTTTGAGTCTCAGCCTACTCACATATAAACGAGATAGTAGTAATACAAGGCTGTTTGAATGGAAAAGTGTTATGTTAAAATTTATTTTCAAAAATAAAGAATTACATAATAAATTGTTTACTACTGTGCCTAAAAATCAGGACACTGTAATGGTTTACATTAAACTAGTATATTACTATTTTGCATCAAGTTGGAATAGTGTATATTTGTAAATTCTTATCTATTCTGTTCTCTTACATGTTCTGGCCTCAAAGAGGGAAAAAAAAAAAAAACAAGAGCAGGGCTGCATTATTGTTTTTCTCCCCATTTAAACCAAAGTCTCTAAATAAAAGTCAAACAGTTAAAATAATTTCACTTTCTAATAAATAAATCTATGACTCACAATAAAACTAAATCACAACCCTAATGTATTAATGGCATGACTTTAAACACAAAGTGCCCTTTCAATGGATGGATGTGTCTGCATTATTCTGTTATAGGTTCTTTCAATTCTCTTCTCTCCATAGTGCACAGATTTTAGCTGAAGCACGATGGATGGGGAATTACGTTTCGCTAATCACACTCGCATGGTCAGCTCTGAACCCCAGGAACCACTATTGCAGAGACAGGGAAGTCACCCAAGACAGGGAGAGGGAGAGGCAGAAGGGTGGTCCCTGGGACAGGACCACCCATCACAGGGCAGTCCTGAGCGGCACAGGGATGAGGGCAGCAGTCCCTTATTTGACCATGCCACCCAGCAGAGAGATTCCAATTCCGCCTTAAATAACGCCATCGGAGCTCGGAGGTGGACAGTCACATGTGATTAGTGGGGAGGATTTTAGACTGTGGACAGCTAATCTTTCCACTGAAGAGGAGTCCACTTCCCCAGGAGGTGGCCTGAAAATACTCGAAATAAAGAAACTTCAGGTGGAAAGAATAAAGGAGGCTGAAAGGGTCTGTTGTTTAGTCTTTACAATTAATGACAGACTGTCACACAGTAGCTGTTCTTGTGGGGAAGGGTGATGGAAAGGAAACAAATTGGAGGGGGAAAAAAGCAACTGTGGGTGTTTCCACAGGGTACCTCTGGTTCAGCAGTAAATCACTAGTACGCTCTGATAAATCTGTAAAGGTGTTACCGATAATTAACAGATACTGTTCACGGGAACGTGGGAAAAAAATCAAGCCAATTATCAAGCTTATATGCAACTGAGAAATCACCCACAATGTTAAACTGCCAACTGGTATTTAATCAGTTAGGCGACATGGAGGAGAGAAAATCAAAGGTAATTTAGAATTCTATGTCCTGGTATATCAAAAGAGGCAGTGGGAGTGGCAGGGAGACACAAAGCCCCTTTCCAGGAGCATCTCTCTGGACTGCTTCCATTTCTGCCTCCCAGGAGGGGACAAAGCTGGAACCCTTTGCGTGTCCTGTTCCATGAAGGAGAGGATGGCCCTGCACAGGACGAGGAGGCAGGACTAGGGGAGCAGCATCAGATGTGGCAGGAAGCCTGATGGATCAGTGAGTTGTTGACACTCATGTACTAATGCCAGATTTGTTAGGTCTGGGTTTATCCAGCGTCAAGCCACCTGCCCTTCTCTTAACATTTCTCCTAGTATGTCTGGTTTTGTGTGAAGCCAAAAAAGTGAACCATTCATAGGCAGATCATTTCCCCATCTGAATCGTGCTTTATGGATTCCAATGAGTGTTTCAGAACACTCATCTTGGATATTTCATCACTGATTTCCGGGACTCTTTCCTCCTGAAAACAACCCTGACGTGGGTCCTGAGTCAGTGTCTGTGAGAGCCTGAGATGAGCACCTGTCAGTTTTCTGCCCCCCTCTCCCCAACGTTGAAGAGAAACCCCACCTCCTCCTTATCCATCATCCTGGGCAGAGGAACAGAATTGTATCAGTCACCGGCCACATTCTCCGAATTTGTGAACAAAATAAAAAATGTCCTTCTTCATAATAAATTGCACTAGCGTTTTAAGTGTCCCATTATTGTGAAGTCATTCAGTATTCACCATAATAACAGTGATAATAAAGAATTCATTTGGTATGCATGTGGATGCTACATCTAGCGCCATTGGTATTCAACTGTAATTTAGCATTAGTTAATGGGCACTTAAAATGCTACCCAGATGATTGATTCCCCGGCACTTTGTGGTTTCTCAAACTCTACATAAAACACTTATTTTCCAAGTGTGAGCCAAAATCATTAAATAAATAAACCTTACCTTCTATAAGTTTGGGATTTGGAAAGAGGGGGTTATCATTTAGAGAGCTTTAATATTAACATGCTAGAGATGGAGAAGCATCCAAATGAAAGACATTCTCTCGTTAAGAAAAAAAAAAAGAAGCAAACAAAGACAGTATACTTACTTTTAAATTACAGGTTCAAAGCGTACACTACACTGCAGGGTTGAAAATAACAGCTGGATGAGCAATGACTCATGACACATTCTGGTTCTTCTAGGTGGCAGGGAAGGTCGAGATCTGAGCTCTTGCCTTGGGGTAGATACTCACACTTCACACATGCACTGATGCAGAAAGGTGGAGAGTGCTAGCTGGGACATTCACTACCCTGGGAACAACTGCTCTGGGGAGGGATCTGATGGGACCCATTGGCTGGCATAGGGGACTACAACATCGCTTAAGATGAGAAGATGTAGACGAAAGGCACACTTGCCATTTCTAGCCAAAGGGCAAATGGTAACCATAGTGTCGTAGAACACTGGGAAAGAACAACTCAGTAATGTAGAGACCAGTTTTCTATTTTATGTTACACTTTTTTTGGCACTGAGCTCTTTATTATGAATGGGAGAGATGCTTTTCTCTGCAGGAAAGAAAAGCGCTCCGTCCTCCAAGCATAAGATCAGCTGCTTTTATAGACCAGGGAACCAATCTGAGCTGGATGTGAGGCTGACAGTGAGACAGCACCCAGACCGGTAGACTGCCCGCTGTAACAGAAACCATCATGGCAGCAGCCACACTCTTCCCTGCCAATCCAGCTGTGTGATGGTGGTTAGAAAGTAATAATAAAATCACCAACCTCAGAGTGCTTTCGCCAAATGTCTATGTTCTTGCGCTGAGCTTTCGAGAAATGGTCCCAAGCTTTTTGTCTGGTAGAAGCGTTGAAAACGGCCACAATCTGCTCAACTTTGGTGAACAAGGAAGTCAAACAAGACAAGTAATTTATGTTGTGATCACTCTAGGGAAGCAAAGCAAAGGCACGAGGAGTCTATAGATGATGTCACAGCAGAAATAACATCATCGATATCCATCCGATTCGTGCCTTTTCGTACTTACATGTTAGCAAGGTTGGGGAGGTCTCCCTTCAAGTCTGTCTCCACAGCTTTACATTAAAACAGATTCTAAATACAGCTGGGGAAAGGGCACGGACCTCTTCACCCAAGCTTTCTTTAGCTCGTGTCTAAAAACATGACTTGATGGATCTGTCAACGTAGATCTACAGATATACAGGCACTGGTGGTGGCATACAGATCCAGATCTACAGATCCAGGAATCCCTGGGGTGGGGGCCTGAGAAGTGGAGCCGGGATGGAGTGGCTGAATGAGGAAGAGCCAAACATCCATCTTTCCCTCTGTTGGCCTCCATCTCAAGGGCCCTGTTGCCGCCCTCTGAAGACATTACCGTGTCCAAGTTGCGAGGCGGGGCAGGGAGCAGTGGTGTCACATTTCCCCTCGATCTCAAGGCCATTTTTAGTCGTTGGTCCCCCATTCTCCCCTGTGGCACCCACTGCAGCCAGCCCTCCAGCCCTAAACAGGAGCCATCACCTCCACTTCCAGACAGACCAAGGCTCTCCCCCAACCAGCAGCACACCGCATGCAGATCTTAATGCAACACCACATGGCGCCCTCCACGGTTTCAGCACGGCCACGGACCATTCTCGGTGACTCCGTTTTCCCTTCCATAATGCTCCCCTCCCCCCTCAGGCTCCCAACATCCTTGAAGTTCTACTTCTATCACTTTGACCTAATGGAGCACTTCTGTGGCTTCCAGGTGAGGTCCTATGTCCATGGTCAGTGCTGAGGGGTGAACAAAGCTCTCCAGGGAAAGGGAAGGACTCTTAGCAGTGGAGCTCAGAGGTGGGGCCAACTGACTGCAGATTTAATTTTGCTCAAGCAGTTATCAATCTACTAAGCACGGGATTAAGGAAATCGTGGCACTGAATGAACCATATGATTAAACCTGAACTTCTAAACATTTAGGAAATGTTAGGAAAGCACAGGTAAAATGAGCTCCTTGTGGATGCTAATGCTCTGCTTAACACAAATCTTTCTTAAGTGATTTCCCAGGGCTCTATTATAAAAAAGGACATCAAAGCTCTTCCAAATCTTCTGGGTGTCCAAAGAATGTCAAAGAGTAATAGAATAATTTCCGCAGAAGAGCAGCACCTGGTGCCCCGATTTCAGAAATGAGCCCACAAAAAACAAACAAGTGTGTGATGGAGGAGAGGAAGAAAGCGTATTTCCTTCACTGACTACATGGTGCGTGCTAAGTCGCTGTAGTCGTGTCCGACTCTTCACGACCCTATAGACTGTAGCCCGCCAGGCTCCTCTGTCCACGGGGGTTTTCTAAGCCAAGATTACTGGAGTGGGTTGCCATGCCCTCCTCCAGGGGATCTTCCCAACCCAGGGATCGAACCCACATCTCTCATGTCTCCTGCATCGGCAGGTGAATTTCTTTACAACTGAGCCACCTGAGAAGCCCTACTACATGGTAAGTAACTTCTAATATTAACGATTGCGCACTCTAATGCAACTGCTTTGCACTCTGTGGGTGATTTTCACAGGGGCTCTCCCATGGACTGTCTTCTGCCTCAAGGGAATTCCGACTCTGAGTCTCCTCATCAAACGTCATCCTCCGGCCACCTGATGAATTCGTTGCGCTTACTTGGAACAGGATGGTCTGCGGCCAGCTAAGCTCTCACCCACCTTGAGTACACTCAGTTCCCCTCTCCCGCCTCACCCAGAGGAAGGAACACTGTCAGGCCAGTCCCGCCAAGCCACCCCCATTGCTGACTCTCCCCTGACCACCCACCCCCAGGGCTCAGCTCAACTGCGCGGCTGGTGGGGAACTGGTTTGGCTCCCGCTGCCTGGGTTTCCTGTTGCTTCGTCTGCGGGGAGGCTGCAAGAATCTGAGGCTTCAAGCTGCCTGCTGCATGGGCAACACGGAGCGGCCAGCCCAAAAGGCCATGGTGGGATCCACTGTCCGATGAGGTTATCTGTCCAGGGTGGTGATCATGGGATTGTTAGAGAGTAAAGGGTTCCATTGCTTTTAACAGTAGAACTCTAACCAGCATCATGGTTAGATGATGGAGTCCTGAAGGATGGGGTGTCCTGACACCAGGCCTGAGGACAATAGACAGGAAGGGTAGAGACTGAGTATCTGGGGGGTGAAAGTCAACATTCTGCCACCAGTCAGGGAAGGCTGCTAATAGAGAGGATATACAACGGTGAAAACTGTGAGGTCACACATGGGTGTGTGGAGTGGGAGGAAAGAGAGCTCATTAACGCACTTGGAGGTGTACAGAAGGCAAGGCACCTATAAGAAAGACTGCACAGGTTCAAGGGTAAAAACAGATCCCCTGGTATCTACTGAAGCCTGGTACTCTTGAAGATATTCACTGCTTGAGGTTAAGTGTCTCGATTATTTAGAACATGTTATTACCACATCCCAGGGCATAAGTTCAATTCGTTCATTCATTCAGCAAACATAGAAGATCCTCCAAGTGACCAAGCAATGGACTGATTGCTAGAAACACACGATTAAGACAAAGCTCATGCCCCTGATGAGATCACTGTCTCTACGGAGAAATAAAGACAAGCAGGTAATTATCCGACACAAGAGAAGTATGGATGACAGCTACGGGGACACAGTAACTAACTCAGTTAGGTGGGAGTCAGGTAGAACATCCCCAAAGAAGGCCTTGTCTGCTAAGTCTTAAATGATGAATCAATGGCTTGCCCAGTAGGGAAGGCAGGGGTGTCCGGTTCAAAGGTGGGCATGGATCTGTGAAAGGGCTTTGTGTGAAAGCAGCTGGTGGGGATGGGGCTAAATCTGGGTGAGAATGACTCAGGGAGGACTGTGTATAAGCCAGAGTGTGACTGTTTACTGTAGACAAGAGGAGGCACATTCAAGTAGGATTTGTTGGGGAGAGATGATGAAGGCTTGGATTAACACAGGGTGCTGGGTGGACAGAGGAGCAAGGAGTCAACAGGACACAGTGGCTGACTTGCTGTAAGGCTGGAGAGAAGGGAGAACAGAATGACTCAAGCTTGGGAAGCACAGCAGAGACCAAAAGGATGAACACAGAGGAGGTCTGCGGAAGGAGGTCAGGAGCTGATGTCTGGACAGGCTGAGTCTGAGATGCCTGAAGGTCATCCAGATGGAGCCAAAACATTAACACACATTGGAGGTGCAGGGAAAAAAAGTCAGAATTCAGAGATTTATCTTGAATTTTCTGGGCCATTTTCAACTTCATGTAATTGTATTCTGTTCAATAGTGTATCAACTAAAACAATTATCTTTATTTCTTATTAAGTTTTATACCCCACTCCCTACCCCACATATTAACAAGTTAAAGAAACCTCAAAACCAAAACCCCCAAACTGGGTAACTTGGCTTAGGTTTGGAAAAATAACTCGCACAGTATTTCTAAGGTCCGGCTGACTTCTCTCATTTCGGTGCCGACTACCCTTGAACCAGCGGTTTGTCTTTCAAATGAAAGGTGCACAAAAGGACTCAGGAGAATGCTAGGCTCAGCACGAGTTCATCATCATTAGGGGGAAACTATCTCAAAGAGTATGCCCTCATGAATGTGATTCCAAGACAGCATGTTTTTAAAATCATAAGTCAGGACGACTGCTAGGATTGATGTCCCAGGGAAAGACCGTTCAGCCTTCACTGTCTCCAGAAGGACACACCAAAGAGCAAGCTGGTGAATCCGACGACCACTCACCACGTCCCCAGTATGATTCACACTACATATTCCATACAAGGCAAAACTACAAGTAGTTACTAACATGGACTCTTCAACACTCTGCTTCAATGCTGAGAGAGAGAAACAGTACACAAGATGGTGCTGGCCTGAGTTCAGAAAGACCGCGTGCAGAAGTTGAGCTGTGAGCAGAATAAACTCACGTCAACCCCCACAAGGGCCTTCACCACCCAAGGTCTGCAGAGTGGTGACTGGAAGCCCCAAGCCAGCTTACCATGGTTAGAATACTTCAGCATTTTGGAAGCATTATCAACAGAAAGAGCTCTCAGCAAGAGAATTAATATGACTCTTCATAACTTGCAGATCCCCCCTCCCACTCTATGTATTCAGTTCAGTTCCTCCGTGTGTGCCCGACTCTTTGCGACCCCATGGACCGCAACACGCCAGGCCTCCCTGTCCATCACCAACTCCCGGAGCCTGCTCAGACTCATCTCCATGGAGTCAGGGATGCCATGGGTTTCTACATATTAGGTTTGCCTAAATATAGGTTATTTGAGAAAAATGAAACAAAAATTAAAGGTGACAGCCATAAAAGGAAATGAAGTTGGGTCATTTCTGGTGGATGTGGATGGACCAGAGTCTGTCATACAGAGTGAAGTAAGACAGAAAGGGAAAAACATATATGTGATATATTATGCTATTATAATGCATATATGTGAAATTTAGAAAAATGGTACAGAGGAGCCTGTCTGCAGGGCAGGAATAGAGATGCAGATGCAGGGAACAGATGATGAGGACACAAAGGGGAGAGGGGAGGGTGAGACGAACTGGGACAGGAGGGCTGACACATACACTGCCGCACGTGGAAAAAGCTGGCTTAGTGGGAAGCCGCCGTAGAGCGCCGGAGCTCAGCTTGGGGCTCTGCGGTGACATGGAGGGTGGGATGGGCGCGGGAAGAAGTCCAAGAGGGAGCGCGAGTCTGTAAACATGTAACTGATTCACTGCCGTGTGCAGCAGAAATGCACACAACACTGGAAGGCAATCGTGTGTGTGTGTGCTCAACCGTCTCAGGCTCTCGGCAGCCCNATGCACACAACACTGGAAGGCAATCGTGTGTGTGTGTGCTCAACCGTCTCAGGCTCTCGGCAGCCCCAGGGACTTGCGGCCCACCAGGCTCCTCTGCCCATGGAAACT